CGCGGGTCGCCGTTCGGGTGCGAGGTGGTCCCGGCCGGGCGTGGAGCCGGGCTCCTGCCTGCAGCCCCCGGGCGGCGGGGACGCAGCTGCCCGCCCGGCCAGGCAGCCTTTCCACAGCCCTAAGCGTCTGTCAGGCCACGATGGCCGGGCTGGAGCCCCTCGGGGGTGGCGCAGGGGCAGCTGGTGATTTTTTTTTATTATTTTTAAAGATTGTGCTTGGTTGTTTTAAATGCCATGGCTTTAAAAGACCCGGTTTCTGTTTGTTCAAGTAGCCCTGGAGGTGCTGGGAATGGTTTTCCACCTTTGGAATAAACTGTGAACGTGTCGGGAGACGATAATGTTGCAGAACGAGTGTTCGGCCTTTCCAAAGCCACCTTGTTGTTAGCGCAGAAGCAGCCCTGACGGCAAGTTAGGTTACCCCTGGGGTCAGCCGAGTGGTGTCCTCTGCCTACGTGGTACTGGAGGGAAAGGCACTTATCATGCCTTATCTACACAAGCCACTGATGGGATTAGTTTATTCCAAACAGCCATTTTTGAATGGCTCCCTGTCCGGATGCTGTTATTGTAGAAGAGACATTCCCCAACATCCAAAGTGTTTTAAGTTCGTGCTTGACCTCCCCTATTCCAACGTAGTCTCTCTGTGTTGACAGCCCCTCGGTACACCCTGTGTCACCTTCACAAAGGAAGGGTGTTAGTTAGTGTCAGTGTTTTAATTTAAAAATATTTGGTTGACAGTTTGTTTGAATTTATAGATATCTGTCTCAAGTACTAAATTTTGTTATTTTAAATTCCAAAAACTCCTGTTCAGTTCAGCAGCTTGAATCAATATTACGACAGCTGCAGGTGTGCAGTACCTAATAGGAATAATTCATGGTATGTGAACTGTGTAGTTACTTTAGCCTATTAATTAAGTACAAATTAAAATGGAACGAAGACTTTATTAGCCTGGCCTAGAAGGGCTGTTATCCAAATTTTAGTAATTTAATCTGAAATGGAAATCATACAGAATTTGTGCAGTTTCCTTAAGCTACTGGGTTTTTTTGGTTTTTTTGTTTTTTTTTTTTACAGTAGCTTTTCTGCTGTTCATGCCTAGAAAACAGCTGATGGCTATCCTCTTCTCTTGCCCACACTCCATAAAAATGCACAGCACAAGTTTGTTTTTTTCTGTCCTCTTAGATGCAGCCTATAACATTACCAAAGAGAGTAAGTAAAAGCAGGAGGGAAAGGGAAAAATAAAGGAAAAATGTGAGAAGTCTACAAAAGTCCTATCCTCTCAGGGCCTTCTGACTGCTGTAGAGGTGTGCTGTTCTTCTGCCTCCTCAGTCTTCTGTCGGGGCATAAGACTTTCCTTTCTCATCCCTTGTTTTTCAGTATTCTCTACTGTTCTTATTAGGCTTTAGTGCCTATGATCATTCTAAGCAGCAGCAGTTGAATAAAATTGACATGTCAATTTTATTGCTGACAGGCTGATTTTATGTAGTGTGTGACACTATAGCTCAAAGCCTCTGTCAGTTCTGTAGGCTATTGCTTTGTGAAGCTTTGAGCTATAGCTGACTGAAGAGTTGGGAGGGGACCCTACATTTATCTGCCACACTTAAAAGACTCTTTCCAACTTCAAAGTATAGCAAGCTCTTTATGGAAAAAAGCTAAACTTACCTGAGAGGTGCTAGATAAATAAGAGGAAACAGGAAGGCTGGGAAAATGGTTTGTAACCACCTGGATGAAATTAAACAAGGACAAATGCAAAGTTCTGCACTTGAGATGAAATAATTGCATGCACAAATACAGACTGGGAATGACTGGCTAGGCTTCTCTGCAGTGCTGAAGGACCTTGGAGGTTACAGTAGACCGTAACCTGAATATGAACTAACAGTGTGCTCTTGTTGCAAAAGAAAGCCAATAGTATAGCGGATTGTATTAACAGGAGTGTCGCTTGTGAATCAAAGGAGGTGATTCTTATACTTTATTTGGCAATAGTGAGGCCTGACCTGGAGTACTGTCTCCAGTGTTATGTCCTGGTCTTCAAGAAGAATGTGAACAGATTAGAGTCCAACAGAGAGCAACAAAAAGTATTATAACCTTGGGAAGAAATGTTTATAAAGAAAGGCTGGAAGTACTAAAGTTACTTAACCTGGAGAAGAGAAGATTGAGGGGGTATTTAGTAACAGTCTGAATACCTGAAGGCTGAATGGAGATGAGCTTTTCTTTGTGGCTGAAGGGGACTGGACAAGAAGCACAACAGCCTCAAGCTTCAGCAGGGGAAATTTAGGTTGGCAATTAGGAGGAACTTTCTGGTTATTAGGGTGGTCAAGAATTGGAACGAGTCACCTAGAGAAGGTGCGGAGTCTCCATCCCTGGAAGTTATCAAGAGTAGGTTGGATATACACTTTACTGGGATGGTTTACTCAGGGATGTTCTTGCCTTGTTCATGTGGCTGACCTGGATGAGGTCTCTTCCAGGCATATTTTTCTGTGCTTCTATAAGGCATCATAGAGGACAGGTTTATAAGTGTACATGGTTTTGTTATATTGGAAACATGGCCTGAAATAAATCAGATGAAATTGAATGAGGACAAGAACAAAGTACCTAATTTCAGAGGGAACAATCAAATGCACAAATACAAGGTGGGGAGCAACTGCCCAGGTTGCAGTACTGCAGAAAAGGACCTAGACATTACAGTGGTACACAAACTGAGTGTGATTCACATTGGACAATATAGTACCGTTTCCAAAAAGCGTATAGTGTACTGGTATGTATAAACAGGCGTGTCAGTCCTGGAAAGCAATTCCCCCCCCCCTTATTCACGACTGGGGAGACCTCATGTGGGGTACTGTGTCCAGCTGGGGCACTGGATTTCAAGAAAGATGTAGGTAGATTAGAAAGAGTTCAGAGGAGAGTGACAAAGCTAATAAGAAACCTACAAAAAATGACATGAAAGACTAAACAGTCCCAGTTGTTCCAATCTGGAGGAAAAAAACCTAAAAGGGTATTTGATAATGGTCTGTAAATATGAAAAGGATTATTATAAACCAGATGGTGATCAACTATTCTCAGGTTCCATGGAGAACAGGACAAGAAATAATGGAAGAGGGGAGATTTAGGTTAGATGTTATGAAGAATTCTGAGGCTAAGCATTAGTACAAATGCCAAGAGAATGTGGAATTTTGTTATTGGTAGTTTAAAGTGTTTTATGTTTGGCAGTTGTCAGGTGTCTTTTAAACAGTGGTGATTCTGCCTTGAGCAGGAGGTTGGACTAAATGGCCTTCTGACATCCCTTCCAGCCCTATTTTTCTATGATTATTGTACTATTGATAGTTTCTCATCTCTCTCTTTGCCTGACATGCATGCAGAAGAAGAAAAGGAGACAAGATTTGCCCTACAATACTCTGTATTCTGGAACTCAAGACGAACAAATATCCATTCAAACCTTCTGGGTGGCTGAGAGAACAGAATGAAAGAGCATATGTAGGGTTGGCATCTACTGCCTGCCCAGAGCCATTTTATTTGACCTGTGAAGCTGGGGGGAGGGGAGGGGGATTCTGCTGGGGACTTCACCTGTGTGATGGCCAAGTGTTGGGATGGAGCAGCGGTGTCAGCATTGTTGCAGCCACTGCTTCCTCCCACAACGTAGGCCAGGCTAGAAGTGGCCCATGTTCAGAGCTAAGCTCTGTTAAAGCTGCCTCCAAAACATTGCTGACCCATGGCATAATGTGAATTACTTATCCTTGTTATTGTACGAATCACAAGGTGCTGTGGGCTCACCTCCAAGTGTCAAAGACTGCCATGAGATCTAACAGTCTCAGTTTGAGCTCATGTTTTTGGCTGTGATCCACTTCTCTATAGTACTCACTGCATCGAGCTTAGTTATCAAGAGATGGTTGTATGGTTGTACCAAATTATCAATGCGCTGATTATGGAAGTCAGTGGTTCTCAACCTTTTTAGACTATGACAGCCCTTATCAGACTCAAGGCACCCTTGGAAAATGCCAGCTCTATTTTCCCTTGCTTTTTGAGTATGGAAATAAAATAGAGCAATTTTTCTGTTACAGAAGTCAGAAAGCCTACAACAGGTCATAATGTTTTTAACATTATGGGTTCCTATTTGAAATCTCTAGGTTTATCTTGTGAATTATGTTGGTACTCTGAACAGTACTCATGTTGGATTGCACCCCTGTACCCTGCACCCCAGAGTGCCTTGGCACCCAGGTTGAGGATCACTACTGTTGGTAAATAGGACTTTCTATCAGGGTGTTCTCAGGGGGTCTACAAATATTTTTGTCTTTGTCATGGGGGACATAAGTTGTTCTGCTAGCACGTTAAAGAGTCATTTATCTGAATGTTGAAAGATGTCAAATGGTTGAATTCTGAAGGCTCCAGCACCAGGCTAGAAAACAGCTCTGTTAGGTGTGAAGGGCTAACAGGGCTGTAAAATGGTTTGTTCTGACACTGACCTCCTCTTTGGACTGGCTTTTTGAAGTGACCTCAGTATCCGAGTGGGGTGATGCTGAATAATAGTAACAGAACTCAGCTGAAGTAGGTAGAGCATTCTGAGTGTACATTTAGAGTACAGAAGGTGTAGACACCCTTGTTCAATGGACATAAGTATTGTGTTTTACATTTAAGCCCTGGTTTACAATTTTTGTTAGTGTTACATTTATTTTTTGCAAAAACTTGTGCACATATTGGGTACTTCCTTTTTCAAATTAATTCTGACTTGGCACCATAGACTAAAAGCTTCTGAAACAAGGACTCTCTTGTCTTTATGCATGTATACAATATCCTAGCATAATGAGATCTTGGGTCTCTTGTGCTACCATAAAAAAAAGACTAAATATAAGATTCCTAGATATGAATTTTTGGTATCTGTATTTAGCCAAGACCTACCCACCTTCTGTCAGTGTAGAGGAAGTGCTAAGAACTTGAACAAAAACTCAGGTACTATTTTATGCGATTGTTCTGGGGTTTTAATTCCTTGGGTTCTTATGATAGTTTAGAAGGCCATATTCTATGAATTGTAAAATCCTGTTTGCTCTGCTCACCATGTAACATTGATCTCTCTCTTGACACACACATGAATAATTTTTTCCCTCCAAATTAGGGGCAGTAACTCTGTGGGAACAATTTAATTTTCCAGGTCATATTTTTAGTGAAACGTGTAGAACATACTAAAAATGCTCCATTTTTAAATTTTGTCATGTTTTCTTTAGTGTTTTTTTTTTTCCTGGACTCCTATTGCTAAAATCACAAACTCCACTTCTGCTCCCCCCCCCCCCCCCCCC